CATGAGGCTCAGTGACTTCATGAGAACTTGAGGTTTTCGGCAACAAAAAAGTTCATTTTATGGGTGTTTTTAATGACAATCCATGGTGTTACTGGATTAAAATAGAGTGGGAAATTTGTCTCCTTTGGGAGTAACAGTATTCCAAAACCTTTTATACTGGTATGCATTAAACATCACTATAATGTCAAAATACGTTATCCCTAGTGCCGATGTTAAGTGTGAACACCGTGATTCTGTGAGGGGTATAGGTAGAAACTGGACCACGTGTATAAGTGGTTCTAGTGTCACCTCCACCTTGCCAAACACTGCTCCTGTGACAAGAACACTTGACGTGATCAGCTGAGTGAGTTCAATACCCAAGAGGATATAGATTACCAATTGTTATGCTTATGTCTTTACTCAAACACACAAGATATTTACCTACCTGTGGTCCATGCTGGGGAAATCTACGTTTATATAAACATTTCTGTGATTGAGTTATTAATTTCAAGCTTTAATGTCCATGGAAATACACTTTTCATGACAATAAACATCTACGAAATCCAGGATCCACACCACAAAATAAACGTATGCTGGAAACCGAGCTTGAATCTAAGAGCTAGAGTTTCATATTCAACTTTTTTGGGATGTTTATGTTTATTGCTCATAATTCAGAACTGTGTCACAGTTATTTTATGAGACAGATATTTGTAAAATTCAAAATTACAGAGATTTTTAAAATATAATCTGTACTTCATTTATTCTTTAAATTTCTTCCTGGAAGGAAAGGAAAATAATACTGACTTGCACTATTGTCATAGAACTGTAAACGATGTATATCAAATGCCCGGAACATGGAGTTGGCTGGTCTTGGATCCGTGGCAATTCTCATGATAATAAATATCAAAGGTCTCGTGGCCTGGTGGGGAGAAATGTCATCCAAAGAAATATCTCAAAGTTTTGTATAACTTTTAATTTTGAATTATATTGTTGGTATTTTGATGAGGGTTGCAATAAATTATATATCATTGTAGGTAGAATAGCCATTTTGACTATATTCTCTCCATCCATGGTAACTTCTTATGTGACAGTGTGACAGTGACAGTGACTCCTTATGTCACTGTCTAAGTTCTTTAATAATGTTTTATAGTTCTCACTCTGAAAGTCCTTTACTTCCTTAGTTAGGTTAAATAAATAAATGAAATTTCCTCGTGGAGAATCTGAGTAAGCTTCCATTCAAAAAAGGGCTTCCTGGATTTAAGGGTTCATATATTTCAAAATATCACTGAATTCAAATTGTATAGGGCCAGATGTGAGATACAAAGGCCCTGACCAATTGATGCCTAAGTCAAAGAATTTAAAAAATAGTATGAAGAAAGCAGTCTAAACATATTTTACCTTTTGAAACTTTGGCTGTATTACTGTTGATGAAGTGTGCAGAATATAATTTAGTTCTTCAATCATGTATTTTCAGACATGATAACGATTTGAAAAAGGCTAACAATTTCTCATAAATGTAAATAATTCATAAACCTGACATGGTGTCTCCCTGGCTACATGCAAAATTATATGTAAGCTCAACCCATGTAACTGCAGCTAAGGGCTGCCATCCCCTGTGAACACAGCCCACACCACCCCAGTAACTGCTGGGCACAGTCCTGAAACAAGTGTCACATTATATGGCTGCCACAATGGTGAGATCAGAGTTGGATTAATCTATGACTGGTTTTATCAGGATTGGTTTTTAGCAAGGTCTTATCAGAGATTCCAGCTGTTTTTTTGTTTTGTTTTGTTTTGTTTTGTTTACAACAGAATCATCACCTAATTCTGTGAAAAATCTCTGATACAGTTCAACCCATGAATCATGATTAAAAAGCAAGATATACCTCTAGCAATTGATAGAAAATGCTAAAATGTTACTACTTACAGTGTTTCTGTGGTTCACATTCACATATTAGCTATATTTTTGAGGTATATACATAAATATCTTCTTGCAAGGACATATGAAATGATACCAAATAGAAGTATAAATAAGAAAAACTTGTGGCGCACTGAAATATGAGTATAATGTAGATGCCCTAGGAACAGGGTATCAGTATACCAGGAGGCTGGAATGACTTCATGACCTTAGAGTTTGAATTCTCACTTTGCTAAGAGGACAGGGTAAGGAAATTGCCTTGAGAACTGTCAGGGGAAACTCTGATATATGAGGGACACACAGATCCTACAGGCACTGACAATCACAGTCCCTCCATTCAAGTCTTCCTTACACAGTCATCTGGAGCCATAGTCCTTCCAAAGCACCCTCTTCACTGCTCCCTTCACATCCTTGTTCCGCAGAGTATATATGAGTGGGTTCATCATGGGGGTTATAACGCCATAAAAGAGAGTTGTGAACTTGCCCTGATCCTGAGAGTAGTTATTGGTGGGCTGCAGATAAGCATACATGGCTGTGCCGTAGAACAGGGAGACCACCAGGAATTGGGATCCACATGTCCCAAATGCTTTTCTCTGCCCAGACACTGACTTTATTCGCAAGATAGCCCTGACTATCCGACCATAAGAGAACATGATTAACGAAACAGGAATGAGAAGAATGACGACACTGACAAAGAACATCTCAGACTGAGTCTTAGTAATGTCAACACAGGCAAGCTTGAGCAAAGCAGGGATCTCACAAAGGAAGTGGTCTAATTCATTTCTCCCACAAAGTGGTAGGAGGAAGGTGAGCACTGTCTGCAATAACGAGTTGGAAAAACCAAAGGTCCATGAAGCAGAAGACATCAGGAAACAGAGACGGGGGTGCATGATCACAGTGTAGTGGAGGGGCCTGCAAACAGCTGCGTAGCGGTCAAATGCCATGACGCCCAAGAGGATGCATTCTGTGCACCCCAGGCCCAGAGAAATGTAGAGCTGAGCTACACACCCACCATAGGAGATAGATTTGTCTGCTCCACTGAGGTTCACCAGGAACTGTGGGACGACACTGGTAGTGTAGCACAGGTCCAGAAAGCTCAGGTTGGAGAGGAAAAAGTACATGGGGGTGTGAAGATTGGGGTCCAGGTGAGATAATGCAATGATGGTTGTGTTTCCCAGCAAAGTGAAGCTATAGAAGATTAAAAGAATCACAAAGAGGACTAACTCCAGTTGCGGCCTGTCAGAGAAACCCAGTAGGATGAACCCAGTGAAAGAACTTCCATTTTTCTCTTCTATCCTTTGGCAGCACATTTCCTACTAAGATAAAGCATTTTACCATTTTTAAGATGATTTCAAAAAAAAATAACAGGTGACTAATATATCATGGTCAACATTATAGTGCCAAGGTTTTATATGCAACTTTTTGAATTAATGACTTAACTCATCTAGATCTATAATATCACAAAAAGTATTATCTTTGGTATTTAATAAAACAAAAATTAAATAATGGACAATGTGTTCACACCAGCCACAGGCATGAAAGATATGTTTCAGATTTTGTTTAGAATATAAATTTCTACATGAATTTATCTGCTTTAGCATAATGGAAATGAGGGGGGAAGTATAGAATAGTGTCAGAAAAAATAAGAGAGCTGCAGAGGGAGAGGTAATTTTAAATATGTATCTCATAATTCTACACAATTGGATTTGCACATCACATGCCATAAAAGATAACACAAGACAATCTCTATACTCAGTCAAAATTAAAAATGTATGACCTAGCATACACTTCCACAAAAAACTAAATTACACTCAAAGTACCACTAACAGGACTGTCTATGCACAGTTTTGGCAGTTTTGTGCTCTACTCCCACAGATATATGTCAAACAACAGAGATTAGAGATATAATGAAAAATAAAAGTAATACAGGAAATGCATAAAGAAGTGCATATTTTATTATTATAAAATCAAAAGATTTCCATCTATATTAGTTACTTTCATATGCACCATTCTGGGAACTATTTTGTCTCTCTTTTTTTAAAGATTTATTTATTTATTTATTTATACAAGAACCGGGGTACAGGCCAGATGCGTGGGAGGGTGAGAGGGTTTACCAGAGACAAAGCGGGTAGCAGAACAGGCAGACTGACGAAATACACTGCTGAGGGGAGCAGCGGGAGCGACAGGAGAGGTCTGCCATGCCATGTGGCACCCTCGCCAGCCGGCTGGGATCGAACCAGCGCTGCAGTGGCTGGGGACAGCTTCACAGAGCGGCACTCAACCTCCTGCGCCACCAGGGGAGGCCCTCTGGGAACTATTTTGAAGAATCAATTACATTAGGCCATTACTAGCTCTGAAGTTAGATGATTATCAATTCCATTCAGTTTATGCATATTTATTATTGCACTTACACCAAGCTAAGTAGCATCAGAAAATGAATAATTTGGTTTGATCATATTCAAATGGTTATGAATTCAGTAATTTTTAAATCTGAATCAGGACTGGGTCATTTGTTCCTTTCCTTCTTTCCTAATCATTGCTCCTGAGGCTGTTAGCATCACCACAGAGAGCAAATCTTCAAAGAACATTGGTTTAGCTAAAGTTACATGAAAAATTTCATTTTGTTCTGGGCCTCCCTGGTGGCACAGCGGTTGAGCACTGGGCTGCGAAGCTGCCCGCAGCCTCTGTAGCACCTGTTCGATCCCCGGCCACCGGCGAGGGTCCCACATGGCGCACAGACCTCTCCTGCCACCCACTGCTCTCCTCAGCAGTGTATTTTGTCACTTTGCCTGTTGTGTTCCCCACTCTGGCTCTGGTGAATTCTCTCACCCTTCCGCGCTTCTGACTATACCCAGTGCTTGTATAAATAAATAAATAAATTTTGTTCTTACCACATTTGAAATATTGTATAATTTGATTTGAATATCATCTATGTTTATATAAGCATCAGGGGCCTCCCTGGTGGCCTAAGGGTTAAGTCTCACCACTATCACCTCCACTGCCTGAGTTCGACTCCTGGCCAGGGAGCTGACCCACATATGGTACAGCAGATCTCTCCTGTCTCCCCACTGCTCCCATCAGCAGTGTATTTCAGTAAATTCACCTGTTGTGCTCCCCAGTCTGTCTCGGGTGAACTCTCTCACTCTCTGCACCGCTGGCCTATACCCCAGTTCTGAAAAATAAAAAAAAAATTAGCATCAACTGACTGAGTACAGTAAGAAAGACTGATTCATACTATATAAAATTACCTGAAATATTTGAATATTTATCCTCAGTACAGGATCAAAGAATGGTGTTCTTAGTTACCACCAGGATATGACATATTGAAAAACCATGTTATAAAAATTAAACATAAATTATTACGTTGGATACAGAAAATAAATACTTGAAAAAAGCAAATAAAAAATATAGATAATTACAGACAAAATAAAGAAAATATACCCCAAAAAATAAGAGGGCAATCTTGTTACACTTATCAAAAAAAGAATAAAAGGGAAAATGACACCTCACAGGTATATAATTTTGCACTAAGAATTTTATTTTTTTTTTTAATATTAAATTTTATTTTTATATTCCCCCATACAATTGCAAACGCCCCATTCTGACCCCAATCCTTCCCCTCCCGCCCCCCCCCCCCAAAAAGTGTCTCTGGTTCATAGTTTTTTGTTGATTTTGATTTTCACTTTCTTATATTCATTTTCCTGGTCCCTTATTTAAGTTTTCTAGATTCCTGCTATGAGTGAGACCATCCGGTATTTTTCTTTTTCTATTTGGCTTATTTCGTTGAGCATGATCCCTTCCAGTGCCATCCATGTTGCTGCAAATTGCATGTGTTTATCTTTTTTGAATGCTGAGTAATATTCCATGGTATATATGTACCACATCTTCTTGATCCAGTCATCTACTTTTGGGCATTTGGGTTGTTTCCAAAGCTTTGCACTAAGAATTTTAATCAAAGGAAAATGCCTACTACTCACACATCAGATGGCAGATAATAATTTACAATTTACATTGATTGTATTATACTGACAAATAATACTAAATTTTACAGGAAGAATAAATACATGAATGAGCTAGAATTTAGCATGCAAAATAAACATTTTAAAAATGATTTAATATCTGAATCTAAGGTATTACAAAATATACAAAATTTTCTGGTACATTTAACTTATAAACTGCCCTGTCCAGTTCCTGAATGAATTGGAAAAAATGCTGGAAAAACTACTGAAGCCTCAGTGCTATAATTGAATTGCTATTGATTTAATACTGCTTCTCTCTCATAGATTTGAACTGAATTCAATTATTTTAGGCTGCCCCCGATGACAATGGAGCTTATATAAATGAGGGGCAAACAAATCTATCACTGTAATGGAAATGACAGGTCTCATGAACAAGGAGAGTGTTTAGGTCAAGTACTATGGAAGAAGAGAATGCAGAAGGAATTTCAATGCATGATGTTTACTGAGGGAATGTTCTAGGAATAAAGGCAGTTATAGAAGCAAAGGAAGCAGTTACTAAACCAGGGTGTGATTTCCACTGGAATAAGCATGACCTGACCCCATGAGAACCTGGCGCAGAACTGTCCAACAAAGCTACGAGTGAGGGTAGAGCCTGTCTTCACTACTTCACTACTTCACTACAATCCAATAGCCACAAATCACACGTTGCTCCCTGAGCATTTACAGTGTGGCCATCACGCAGCTGAATTTTAAATTCCAATTTTAATTCACATAAACTTAAGGAGCTACATGAGGCCAGTCCCCACTGTACTGGGTAGCACAGCGGTGGAGCAAGGATGGCAGCAGACTGAGACCCAGGTGAGGCAGAGGCGGCCTTCTGTGTATCCCAGGAGGCTTCTTCACTGGCTATGGCTGCCCCAACAGCTTCCAGATATCTGTCACTGAGGTTCCCTCTCAACAGAGGGAAAATCTCCAAAGAAGGACGTGGTTTTGCACCTCGCACCCAATACTCAGAACAGCAGGGTTGGGTGGGTAAACCGGGGAGCAAAGATCTGAGTGGGGAGCCAAGAGCACCCAAGCCTGGGCAGGAATGGGAGGATGTGTGTAAGGTACACTCCACATCACATCCATGTGATCCCATAAACACATCATCATTTGCCTAATTCACTAATTATAGATTATATTTAATCTAATACTTTGATTTTTAACATTAATGCGTACACTTGTATTCTATTACCTCAAAGACATATTTTATTATACCTAAATAATATGCTACCTTTAAATTATCTTCCAAGTGTACATACTGAAATATAATGAATGTACTAAAATTGAATGACATGTCTAAGAATAATTGTTGGTCTAAAATAATCTATACTATCCAAACTCATAATATTTGGAGAATTTCTATAGTCTGTTTCTTTTAGCAACTGACATATATGTAAACAATTTGGGGGTTTGTTTTAGAATAATTTCTACTGAAAATAAACTAACTTGCCAAGGCCATTTCACTCACCTTTATGTGCCTTAAATGGGTGAGAAGCTCTTTTCCTACCTTGTTTCCAACTTACAGTCTTTAATAAAGTACTGGGGTTTGCACACTTAATATGCAGCATCAGGAAGCAAGTTGTTGTATGGAGTGACTGGAAAGGCTGATTACACCAGCACCACTTATGCAGAACTATTTCTCAAGCTGGAGGATGCCTTCGCATGGGACTAGAGACCCGCCAGCTGCCTCTCAGTGCTAGGGAGGTGCAGGAAGGTAGTTTCAGGAAAGTCTAATTTCCTGCATACAAAGACCTGGCAAAGTGACAAAATGATTCTTCTGGGAAACAGAAGCGCTGACTGGACCGCACAGAGACCCAAATCTGCTTGCCTGGCAAAAGACTCTGGGGATGTGTCTCCTACACTATTAATTAGCTGGTGTCACCGAGTGACTTGTCCACAATAACAATCCTTGGGGAAAGTGAGTATCAAGGAGAATGCCTGAAGCTTACCAACCTGTCTCTTCTATAGCTTTATGCATTTGAGAGAGAACAGTTATACTTCCTGCTTACCTTAGTTCCCATCTTTGAATGATTTAGATGCTTCACAAAACAACTTAAGAATTTTTTCTCACTATTGCAAAAAAGTTATTTACATATTAATAATGGAGTCAGTTACTTAAATTCACTTCTAAATTACTTAAATTTAGAAGTGAATATGTAAATAAATGTTTCACTTAATTTAATTCATATCCAACTTATAAGAAATCATAAAACTAAATTCCATCCTGTAGCAAGCTCTTTCCTATATATCCATAAATCCCAGTTTTATTTATAATTTTTATCTCCTGCAAAAACATTCTTAGAAAAAAATCTTAATAGGGGCCTCCCTGGTGGCACAAGGGGTTAACACACAGCATTATGAAGCTATCTACAGCCACTGCAGCACTAGTTTGACCCCCAGCCAGGGAGCTACGCACATGGAGCAGCAGACCTCTCCTGACTCACCCACTGCTCCCCTCAGCAGTGTATTTTAGTCAATCCACCTGTTCCGTTCCCCACTCTGTCTCTGGTGAATCCTCTCACCCTCCACACCTCTGGTCTGTACCCCAGTTCTTGTATACATAAGTAAATAAATCTTTAAAATAAAAAAAACTATTAAGTTTTCCATTTTCTCTCTCTACTAGTTAAATCATATCATATTTATTAAGATGGTCTATTTCCTAGGCTTTCCAGAAAAGGGAAGGACTTGCTATTAACTCTTCTTCCCAGCTCACTCTTGCTGCTGCCATTATTATTTGGTAAAATCACTAAGGGTATTATTTTGGCATTAGTTACTAATCTTACCAGAAATTGCATTCCTGGGTATAATACTCTCTATAGTAATATTGGTCCTGCGACCCAAGAAACATGTATAAAAATGCTCATAGCAGCATTGCTTATGTCAAACAAAACTTAGAAGCAAATCAAATACCTATCAAATAGTAACTTTGCATTTCGGTAAATTAAGCATCTTCTCCTTCCATACCTGTGCTTACTGGCCCTGAAAATTCAAAACTCTGACCTACCATAACAGATCCCAAGCTCTTCTTCCCACTTACTGTCTCAGTTAATCAAACTGTCTCTCTAAACCACCCAACAGAACCACCATCTTCTGCCTACTTTCCAGATGCTGCTCTTGAACCCAGTCTGACAGCTTCCTGGCAGAAAGATCAGCAAACACTCTAGCACTGGAAACTCCAAGGAGTGATCTTGGTGTTCATGTCAGTCCACAGCCACGATGGCAAAGCAAACAGAGGAATGAGAAGATGGCGCCTCTAGGCTGCCTACAGTGTTGTCACAAGGTCTCATGGCCAGAAAAGCTCCACTTCAAATTACATTCCTGTTTCTAAGTATTCTGTCCCTTGATCATTACTATCACAAGTTCTCTTGTTGGGAAGGAAATTAAGAGATCTGGTGTTGCCGTTCCTTTATTCTACAACAGTTACAAATGGGCTTATGGAAAACAGAATCTAGATTTCTGGGAGATTCTTTCATGCACTATAGTTGCCATTAAGTATCATTGTTAACACTAAAAAAAATCAAAAAACTGCCACAGAATTCAAAAGCCACCTAAAGTTATTTATGATAAATAGAATGCGGCTATAGCAAGGGGGACAGGGTGAGGGAGAACATAAAAGTAGGGAAAAAATAATCAACTTGCCCTGAAGAAGGTACCTATGACCCAATTACGATTTAAAAAAATTATTCTGGATAAATAACAGACTGACAGAATGGACTAGAATAGATATGCTAGCATAAAGACCAACAAGAGCATTTTAAAAAAAGAAAGAAAGAAAAACAAGTACATAATTAGTATTTGATAAGTGGAATGAGAATCTGAAAGAGAGGAAAATACTATTGTGGCAATAAATAGTGGTTTCTAATAAACACCAATCACAACACAAACTTAAAACGGACAGATGTACACAGTAAGAATGTAATGTGTTAACTAGACCTGATTCCAGGATCTTATCTGCATGGGAAACTATGACCATTCCCAGCAAGATCAACCAGAACCATTCTGAGTTCAGGGAAGATCTGTGCTGAGCAAGTAGAAAGAGATGAAGGGAAGTATTTCAATACAGAGAATTCTGAAGATGCCAGTAAATGGGGGTGCTTAGAGCCAAGTTTAATTTACTCAGTACCTTGGTACCAGATTTCTCTAAGCTGTTTAAAAAATAAACATCGTA